CTCCCCACCCCCTCCTCCACCCTCCTCCTCCTCCTCCTCCGTTTTTAATCTGAGTACAAATTGCTGTCAGCACATCAAGTTCGTGTGCCAGCCACACTCGGTACACTCTGTTCTCAGCTCTTCAAAAACAAAATCGCTGCAGGCACCGAGAGATCCCTCCCCACCCCCTCCTCCACCCTCCTCCTCCTCCTCCTCCGTTTTTAATCTGAGTACAAATTGCTGTCAGCACATCAAGTTCGTGTGCCAGCCACACTCGGTACACTCTGTTCTCAGCTCTTCAAAAACAAAATCGCTGCAGGCACCGAGAGAACAATAAGTCAGAGCTGCAACTGGAGTGATGTTCCTTTTTTTGTTGGTGTGTGTTGGGTTTTTTTCCCCCCCCTCCCTGTAATCCAAGAGTGACTGCAGCCAGCTGATCTGCTCCTGGAAACCCAAGCAGAGATTTTTTTTTCCTGCCCTCCTCACCCCTCCCCACTCCTTTGCCTGGTGTGTTTTATGTGTAATTAAGCTAAAGCAAAACTGGCCTCCAAGGGAAGGGTTGCAGCATCTTCCTGTGGGTCCTGTTTGAAAGTGGGATCTTTGGGTTCCTGCTGTTATCCCGTGGAGAGATGTTTTGCTACTTTTGGAACCAGGGATCCAACCAGGGATGGGGCTTGGAGCAACCTGGTCTGCTGGGAGGTGTCTCTACCCATGCAGGGGGTTGGGACTGGATGATCTTTAAGGTCCCTTCCAAGCCAAACCATCCCATGATTCTCTGATCTGTACTTGCTGGGCACACCTGGGGGATGTGCTGTGGGCTTGCTGGGTTACTTGCATTTTAGGCTGAATTTTCCACTTTTCAGTGCTTAAAAAAATAGCCAGCATGGGTTTGGGTGGTGCCAAAGCAGGGATTGGCTCTGGATGAGCTGGATTTGCCTTTTGTCCCTGTCCTGAGCTGGGTGGTCTCAGTGTGGGGTGCAGGATGTGTCCCGGGGTGCTGGCAGCACCTGAGCATCCTCTGCTGCCCTGGAGCCCCAGCCCAGGACGGTGGTGACAAGGCAGAGCTTGGTGTCCTGGCCTCATGGTGGGGAGAACATCCTCACTGAGGTTTGATGCTCGAGGGCTGAACGTGGCTTTGTGGTCTGGTTTAGTCCTGATGGCTCATCCAGGACCTTTCCATAGATCCTGAGACAGGGAAGTGTCCATGGGGCAGAGAAGGGCAGGTTTCCTTCAGCCCAGGCTGCAGCTCCTGTGCAGAGCCTGGACCCTCTCAGCTGTGTCCAGCTTGGTGTCTCCTTGAACTTGTTGATGCTCAGTGTCCCATGGGAGCTTGGGTCACATCCTGCAGCTCCATCTGGTGCTGGAGGGGCTCCAGGAGCAGCCCCCAGGCCTGGATTCTTCCTGAGCCTCTCCCCCCTCCAGCAGCCCTTGCACAGACAGTGGTTCCTCTCTCTGCTCATGTCCTTCCAGGCTGCAAAGTCCAGCTCCACTTCAGACACTGACCATGAATTTTTCCTCTTCAAACCTTTTTTTTTGGTGGGTTTATTTTGGCTGAGTTTTTTTTAACAGCCCATAGGAATTCCTGATGAAACTGCTTTTCCTTTATACCCTCCCATGTGTATGTGTGTGTGTGTCCCTGTGCCCTGCAAGCAGAGGGCAGGGAACAGAAAACTGTCCCCAAAGCCTCCTTCAGGATTGAATAAATAATAATCTTGCTGTGGAAACCCAGCCAGGAGAACCAGGTGGTGAACGTGCCAGGTACCTGGTGTCCACTGGGCCTGGAACAGTGTGGTTATTGGTTGAAGATTAAAAAAATCTTCTGGTGCTGGAGGGGCTCCAGGAGCAGCCCCCAGGCCTGGATTCTTCCTGAGCCTCTCCCCCCTCCAGCAGCCCTTGCACAGACAGTGGTTCCTCTCTCTGCTCATGTCCTTCCAGGCTGCAAAGTCCAGCTCCACTTCAGACACTGACCATGAATTTTTCCTCTTCAAACCTTTTTTTTTGGTGGGTTTATTTTGGCTGAGTTTTTTTTAACAGCCCATAGGAATTCCTGATGAAACTGCTTTTCCTTTATACCCTCCCATGTGTATGTGTGTGTGTGTCCCTGTGCCCTGCAAGCAGAGGGCAGGGAACAGAAAACTGTCCCCAAAGCCTCCTTCAGGATTGAATAAATAATAATCTTGCTGTGGAAACCCAGCCAGGAGAACCAGGTGGTGAACGTGCCAGGTACCTGGTGTCCACTGGGCCTGGAACAGTGTGGTTATTGGTTGAAGATTAAAAAAATCTTCTTTTTTTTTTTCTTCTCTTTTTTAAATAAATAAATAAAAGAATAATAAATAAATACACCGTTTATCTTGTACTTGGAGTTCTTGGAGGCAGGAGAACACAGGCTTGTTTGGGAGGTGGAAGGCAAGGCTGGATGGAGCTGTATGGGAGGTTTGTAATCGCCCTGATGATAAACTCCACATGGCAACGTGCCAGGAGCAATATCCAGTTCCAGTAAGACTTGACTCGTGCAGTTGAGTACGAGGGGAACATGTTAGTCATGATGTTTATCTGTTGTCTGGTCCTTGGTGAGATGAGATATTCCTGCCCTGCTTTTCAGCCATGCTTTCAAGGCCTCCCCCAGCCCTCTCTGCTCACTGAGGAGCTCCCCTGGCTTCCCCCAGCCCTGGGCCTTCCTCCCTTCCCTGGCTGGAGGCTTTGCTGGGTTTTGGGAGACATCCTGTATGAGATGGTGGGTGTTGGTCTCTCCTCCCAGGTTAGGAGTGATAGAATAAGGGGAAATGGCCTCAAATTGTGCCAGAGGAGGTTTAGATTGGATGTTAGGAACAATTTCTTTGTGGAAAGGGGTGTCAAGCCCTGGCTCATGGCAGGTGGAGTCCCCATCCCTGGAGGGGTTTGCAAGCCCTGAGGGACATGGGGCAGTGGTGGCCGTGGCAGGACTGGGAGAACGGTTGGACTGGGTGAACTTTTCCCATCAAAACATTTTTTTGATGATGCTTTCTTTGGAGCCCACCTGGCCTTGGGTTGGGCGGCTCCGTGTACCATCCCACCTTGTCCCTCTCTGCAGTTCACCTGGAGGGTTTCTGTGGTGGCACCAGGTTCGACTGCAAAGACGTGAAGTTCGTGGTGGGCGAAGGGGAGGACCACGACATCCCCATCGGCATCGACAAAGCCCTGGAGAAGATGCAGAGGGGAGAACATTGTGTCCTCCACCTCGGGCCCAGGTAAGGACCAGCCCCCACCGAAGTGCCATCTGGTTTTAAGCTTCCAACATCTTGAGATCATTTTAGCACTGGTGGGTGATGGTGATTCCCCAAAATTGGAATTGTTAGCAGACACAGCGAGAGCAGCAGGAATCTGGTTTAAAAATCAGGTAAAAGGGGTTTAGCCAAGTCCTGTGGCTAAATGGAAAAATGTCTCCCTGGAATTTGCCAGGGCTGGGCCCTTAATCTGGAGAGAAACCACTGTAAAAATGAGGATTTGATGCAGCTGGAAAGGATGATTCCAGGATACAATGTGGTGTATGTCCCAGATATCTCCTTTGCTCCTGGAGAGTGAAGTCATCCTGGCCCCAGAACGTTAGGAAGCTGCAGCCTGGAGCTGGGGCTGAAACCAGGATGGGCTGGGTCTGTGTTCATGGCCAAAAACATCCAGGATGGAGATTCCCTCCCTCCCTGACAGCTCCTCTCTGCCCCCCAGGTACGGGTTCGGGGAGGCAGGGAAGCCCAAGTACGGGATCCCGGGGAACGCGGAGCTGGTGTACGAGGTGACACTGAAGAGCTTTGAGAAGGTGAGGGCAGGAGTGTGTCCATCCCCCCTGGGCAGGGGACACTGATTCCCTCCCAGCTCCCACCCTTCGTCCCTGGGGTCTCTGCAGCCCGGCCAGGCTGGGGTGGGAACATCCCCAGGGATCCAGTAGTTCCATGGTTGGTCTTCTCTGTTGGTTTGGTTTCTCTTTCTGGCCAAGGTCCAAGGCTGGTTCTAGTACTTGTTCCTACCTTTGTTCCTCTTGTACTTTCTATTTTTTTCCATTTCTATTTTTCTCCTTTTTCTGTTTTTTTTTTTTTCCCCTTTTCTGCTTTTTTTTTTCTTTTCTGTTTTTTTTCCCTTCTCTGTTTTTTTCTCCTTTTCTGTTTTCCATTTTTCCTCTTCTATTTTCCTTTTCTTAACTTGTATCTTTTCCTTGATTTTTTTCCTCTTTTTTTCAATTTTTTCCCCCTTGTTTCCCTTGGGGTTTTTTTCCCCCTTGGTTTATTTTATTTCCCCTGTGTTTTCCCTTGGGTTTTGGGGGGGTTTTGTGTTCCTCCCCACTTTTTTGCTTCCCTTTTTTCCCCATTTTGTTTTCCTTTCTTCCCACCTTCTGCCCTGATAAACACCCCCCATTAGGGAGCAATCCCAGGAAGCCCAGTGGTCCCACCTGAGCCTGTTGGGATTTGCTGGGATTCCTGCAAACCTTTGTTTGCAGGCCAAGGAGTCATGGGAGATGGACACCAAGGAGAAGCTGGAGCAGGCTGCTGTTGTCAAGGAGAAAGGCACCATGTACTTCAAGGTGTGTGAACTTTGGGATGGTGGAGGTGGAGCAAAGGAGCTGGGAATGAATTTGGGATGACAGTGGGATACAAGATGTGGCACCATCCGTGTCCCCTGAGGCAGCTCTGGGTGAGGAGGGTCCTGCCCTTCTGCTGCTGTTTTCTTACCCTGAGATTCCTCCTTGGACTAGGCAGTGCTGGGTTAATGAATGGACTAGATGATCTTCAAGGTTTTTCCCAACAGAAATGATTCTGTGATCCTATGATCCTCTTTTCCCAGCTTTGCTCTGCTTCTGGTGGAGTGGGACAGCAGGTCTGACTCTTTGCAGAGATGGATGTGGCTGGGGCTAATAATGGAGTCATGGGACGGGTTTGCAAGCCCTGGACCTTAAAGCTCATCTAGATCCAACTCCCCTGCATGGGCAGGGACACCTCCCACCAGCCCAGGTTGCTCCAAGCCCCATCCAACCTGCCCTTCAACACTGCCAGGGATGGGGCAGCCACAGCTTCCCTGGGCAACCTGGGCCAGGCTCTCACCACCCTCACACCAAAGAATTCCCTCCTCCTATCCCATCTAAATCTCCCTCTTCCACTTTTAATCCATTCCCCCTCATCCCATCCCTCCCTGCCCTTGTCCCAAGTCCCTCCCCAGCTTTCCTGGAGCCCCTTCAGGCACTAGAAGCTGCTCTAAGGTCTCCCTGGAGCCTTCTCCAGGTGAGAGAAAGCCAAGGAGCTTTGTAGTTCTCCTTCCTAGGCTGGAGCATCCTGATGGCCATGGAGGAGGAACAGAAGCTCCCACCTGACTTTTCCCAGGGGCTCCACAGCAGCAGCTCCAGGCCCTGCTGTGTCTGTAGGGATTCAGCATCCTCCTCCCTTTGCTTCTTTCTCCAACACACTCCAATAACCCCAGAACCTCAGGATGGTTGGGGAGCAGACCCAGCGTTGCTGGTGCTGGTTCTTCAAACCTCTTCTTCTTCCCTCCATCCCAGGAAGGCAAATACCTGCAGGCAGTGATTCAGTACGGGAAGATCGTCTCCTGGTTGGAAATGGAGTATGGCTTGTCTGAGAAAGAGTCCAAAGCCTCTGACTCCTTCCTCCTGGCTGCCTTCCTCAACCTGGCCATGTGCTACCTGAAGCTACGAGAGTACACCAAGGCCGTGGAGTGCTGTGATAAGGTGCATGGGGCTTGGAGCATCCCCTCCTCTGGCATGTTCTCCCTGGGGTTTGGGGGCTTTTGGAGTTTCTTCTGAGTATGAGGAGGAATTTCCAAAGGGTGGCATCCCACTGGAGAGGGGCCTTTTACAAGGGTGTGTAGCCATAGGATGAGGGGGAATGGTTTTAATCTGAAAGAGGGGAGATTTGAGGTTGGACATGAGGAGGGAATTCTTTGGTGTGAGGGTGGTGAGAGCCTGGCCCAGGTTGCCCAGGGAAGCTGTGGTTGTCCCATCCCTGGCAGTGTTGAAGGGCAGGTTGGATGGGGCTTGGAGCAGCCTGGGCTGGTGGGAGGTGTCCCTGCCCATGCAGGGGGTTGGATCTAGATCATCTTGAAGGTCCCTTCCAACCCAAACTGTTCCATGTGTCTGTGATCCCTTTTGCACCCCAGGATCTCCACAGATGCTGGGTTCTCAGAGGCTGCAGGAGCAAAAGGGCTTTTTCGAGGTCAAAATCCACCTGGGCATGTTCTTGCAGCACCTGAACTATATTAATTTATTATATTAACAACTGCTGATGGAGACGAGACAATAGTTTTGTTGAGCAAAATTGCTCTAGGGACTTGACGTTTTCTTCTCCTAATTTTGGCAGATTTCATGAGGTTTAAAACATAAAAGGGGAACTTTGGGGATTCTCCCCCAGTTGCTAACTGGGACTTGTGTGATTCCAGGCACTGGGACTGGACCAGGACAACGAGAAGGGTTTGTACCGACGGGGCGAGGCCAGGTTGTTGATGAACGAGTTTGAGTTGGCAAAATGTGACTTTCAAAAAGTGCTGGAAGTGAATCCACAGAACAAAGCAGCCAAATCCCAGATTTCTGTTTGCCAGAAGAAAACCAAGGAGCACAACGAGCGGGACCGGAGGATCTATGCAAACATGTTCACCAAGTTTGCAGAGAGGGATGCCAAGGTGGGGGTTGGTCTCGGTTTTTGGCCACTTTGTGCTGAAGGATGTTGGGCAGAAGTTCCCAGTTGGTGATTGCTCTGGTCACTGGGGAAATTAAATGTCATCCCATCTCTGGCAAGGCCAAGGGTATTTTGAGACATGATAGTGTGGATTTCCTCAGCCTGGTGAGGTGACCCGGGGGATCGTGTGTCCCAGTGGGATGTGTTCCAGGATTCCTCCCAACAAGACCTGGTGTTCTGTAACCAGAGAGGACACAGCTCTGCAGGCCAGTGACACGTGTTGGGTGTCATCTCTTCTGCACCAGGGCTGGGAGGGTGAGGCTGTGGAGCAAGGGGCTGGTGCAGACCCTGGGGAACCACGTGCTGGGGTGGGAGTGGGTGACCCCTGAGACTGGGGCAGGGAAAAGAGCCATCTCCCCTGGCTGGTGCCACCACAGTGCTGGGGGTGGTGCTGTGGCTGAGGAGGGAGAATGTGGAGGGTTTGCTGTGTTGTGGGACACCTGTGGCTGGACATATGGGCTGTGCCTGTGGACACTGGATGGGCTGTACCATGGACAGTGTATGGGTTGTGGCCATGGCTCAGTCCTGTGTCTTCACCCCACTGCTCCTACCTCATCTCCCCATCCCTTCCCTCTTCCCCTTCATCCATCCAGACTCACCCTGTGCCCGTGCCCAGCTCCCATGAAGGCAGGTCCCATCATTCCCAGGAGATCCCATAATGGGATTCTGTACCTTCCCAAATGCTGGCTGAGCCAATGAGGTTTAACCTCCACCAGCCACTGAGCCAAGACAACTGGAGCCTTGGGCACAAGATGCCGTGATCCATAAGAAGAGAGGAGCCAGGGGGGATTTTTGCCAGCCCTGTGCCCATCACATCACCATCACCCACCTGCTGCTTGCTCCCATTTTCCACTCCACATGCTTTATTTTTGGTTTGTTTGTTTGTTCCAGGAAGCAGCCAGCAAAACTGGGCTTGAGAAAACAGTGGAGAAAGCAGAGTGTGAAAAGGGACCGAAAACTGAAGGTGAAGAGGCTGAAGGACACGTATGATGGAGGGAGGAGGGGAAGGGAGAACCTCTTGCCCTTGGCCATCCAAGAAATAGGTTGCTGCCAGATCTTGGGACTCGCCAGTGTTTTCTTGTAAAGCTTGTTACAGTTTGTGTGATCGTGGAAGCAAAAAGCACCTTGCAAAGGGGAAAAACGAAACCAAACCAACGCACCCGTCCCCGGGCGCCGAGCGGGAGCGGTGGGGACACCGTGGGACCACTGCCCAGGGAGCAAAGGGCTTGTGAAGGGAGAGGTAGAGGGGGAAAAAACCAACCTACAGAAAAGCCCACCAAAAGAAAACAACAAAACAAAATAATAAAGGAAAATTGAAAGTCTTGGCTCTCGGGAGGTTTCCGTAGGCAGCTCGTCCTGGTTCCCATCGGCTGTCGGTGCCGCATCCCTGCTCCTCCAGGATGAGGTGGGATGTGGGAGATGCTCCTGGTGCTGCTGCCTGTGGTTGGATCGGGCACATTATGGTGCTGTGATGTCTCTGTCAGTCCCAGGGGGGCTGCAGGAGCCCGGGGCTGGCTCCTGGGGACCCTGTAGCCTTCTCACCCACAGGTGCTCACGGGGTCGGGGTTGGAAATTGTTTCCTCCTGTTTTCTGAAGCAGAGCTGAGCAGGAGGGTGAGAACCCCCATCCCCTCCACCCCACCCCTCTGTGCAGGGGTGTCATTTGCCTTCAAAACACTATTTTGGAGTGTCGGGGGGTGGATTTTCTCTTTTGAAGAAGCTGGTTTTCATTTCCTTGGAGGGCAGTAGCTGCTCCCAGGCTTCAATCCTGGGCCCTGTCCCTCTGCTCCCATCTTGAAATGGGAATTGAATCATTTTTGGGGGTCTGTACAGGGGAATAAAACCAAAAAAGCAGGTTAACATGGTTCAGACTGGGGCTGAGCTGGTACCCCCGGGTTTCCAGCTCCTCGGGGAGCAGCTTTCCTGGGGAAAAAGAGGGGGACCCCAATGTGTCCTCCACACCTCGGCCATCGTCCCCTTCCATCCCAGAGGGACACTGTCACTGCCATGTGGGAGCAGCTTTCTGGTTGTTATTTTTCCTGTCTGTTCTTTGTAATACCCCTTCTGGAGCTTGAAAATAAACAACTGAAAGAAAAAAACAAAACAACAAAAACCAAAACCAAAACAATGAAGGTAAAAGTGCTTTTTCTCTGCTCAGTGAAGGGGGTGGCCGTGGGAAGGACAAAATGCTCTGCCCCCCTGGGTGGGGACATCCTGGTTCCAAAGGGACTCCTTAAGGAATTACTGGTGTCCTTAAGGAATTACTGGTGGCCCTAAGGATCAATCCTGCCCCTTTTTTACCAGCTCCATCATTCCCTGGAGATCTGGAGAAGGGTCAGCACACTGGGCTTTGGAGAGGCTGGGCTGGGGGGTGTTGCTGGGAGGGGTCTCAGCTCTTTTTCCAGCTTAGGGAGAGTTTATCCTGATGTTTTATTTATTCTTTTTGTTTGTACATTTGGGAGGGGGCACCCAGGCAGTGGGAGGAGGTGGTTGTGCCCAGTGTAGCCAGAGTGGAGTGGGAATTGTGGGGCCCATTCCTCTCTTCTCTCCCCCCATACATGATCTTGGGATAATAAACCAGATGTGGTTTCAATTCCTCCTGTCTAGTCAATCAAGTGGTACCTGAAGCATCTTTTCTCAAGTCTGACTGTTTTCCCACCTGCACAGGGATATTCCCAGAACGTGTGGCTGCTCCTCCACATCTCTAGTTTTCCAAAATTCCCAATGGGAGGTGGGGAGGCTTGTAGCCAGCAGAGCATTGCCTGCAGTTGGACTTGAGGATCTTAAAGGTCTTTTCCAACCAAAATGGTTCTACCATCCCAGTGGGTGCTGCTGGGGGGGGGATGCTGTGAGACCCAGGGGCTCTGCAAAAAAATTGGGTTTTTCTTTTACTTCTTGCAGGCAGAGCAAAAATAAAGTCATTTAAGGGCAGCTCAAGCCACATTTTCCATAAGAATCAGTCCTCGACAGAAAAAACAACAACTAACTCATTTGCTTTGCAGTTTTGGAGCTTTTCCTCTATTTTTAAGCAGATTTTTGGATCGGTTTGGTGCTTCTTTTTTTTTTTTTTTTTCTGGAAAAGAGAAATGAAAAGAGAACGGAAGATGAAAGGGAAAAGGGGGGGGAGGATTTTGGAAAACCTCGGCTGTGCTGGTGGGTCCTGGTGTCTGATGTTCAAATGCCACCTAGTGGTGTTCCCATGGGGTGGGAAAAAGGGGGTGATGATGATGGGGGAAGAGTTTGGGGTGTTTGTGGTGGGTTTGGGTCGGTGGGATCCCTGGGGGCACTTGGGTCACCCGGTGTGGGGTTGGGTGGGGGTAATGAACAGCTAAATGCTGTTAATGATGAGGTGAGGTGGGAGCGGGGACGTGTGGAACCCATCAGGGTTTGGGGACATGGGACAAAACCTGTCACCCCAAGGGACCTGGGGGCACGGGATGGGGCTCAGGGCACCTCGGTGATCCATAGGGATGCCCTCAGCCTGCTCCAGGGATCCTGCTGCCCCCCCAGCACGGCCTCCCCGTGCCCAACAGCCCAAATCCTGCTTTTCTGTGAGGTTTTCAGGTGGGAAAAAACCCCCACTCGTCCAAGTTGAAAATGGTGAATCCAGAGAGGATAACCCTGAGCCAGGTCCCTCTGCCTGGCTCAGGGGTCCCACCATGTGTGTGGGTAGGGGGTTGTGCACCCCCAAAAGCTGCCCAGAGTCCAACTGCCCCCCTGTGCCCCCCTCCCAAGCCCCCTTTTCCCGGGATTACCGCCCTGCCAGCTGCTCTCCCGGCGGGTCTGGCCGGCAGCCCCTGAAATCCTATTACCGAGTTGCAGGAGAAATAAAAAGTTAATCATCTCCTTCACCTCCTCTTCCTCCTCCTCCTCCTCCTGCCTCACGGAGGCGGCCGGACCGATGTCACTTGGCTCCTTGGTTTGTTGTCACCGTGGGTGAGGGGCTGCAGCACCGGGGGGAGCAGCGACCAGTGCCGGGAAGCTGGGAAGAAGCTGGGAAGAGGCTGGGAGAAGCTGGGAAGAGGCAGGGAACAAGCTGGGAAGGAGCTGGGAAGAGGCTGGGAGAAGCTGAGAAGGAGCAGGGAAGAAGCAGAGAAGAGGCTGGGAAGAAGAAGCTGGGAAGAAGCTGGGAAGGAGCAGGGAAGAAGCTGAAAAGAGGCTGGGAGGAAGAGGCTGGGAAGGAGCTGGGAAGAGACTGGGAAGGAGCTGAGAAGAGGCTGGGAGGAAGAAGCTGGGAAGAGGCTGGGAAGAGGCAGGGAAGGAGCTGAGAAGAGGCTGGGAAGAAGCAGGAAAGAGGCTGGGAAGAGGCTGGGAAGGAAGGAGCAGGGAAGGAAGGAGCAGGGCTGGGAACCATGCCCCTGCAGACCCAGATCCTGCGGGAGGTCTGGACCGCCGAGAGGTGAGTGTGGGTGGGTGGGCAGGATGTGACCCCCCTCCTCTCCCTCCCCGAGGTGGGTGATGTGCTGGGTGTGCCCACCAGGTTCCCATCTCCCCCTTTTCCACTTTTTTCCCCAGTTTTATTGTGATTTCATGAGATGTTTTATCAGGTTTCTGGGTTTGTTGTTTGTTTGGGGTTTTTTTTGCTCGGGGGGTGGGTGGGAAGGTGCTCATTGGTTTACAGAGAGGAAAAGTGTTCATCGGGAAGGGGGGCCGGGGGGGCCCCCCTAATTAACCTCATTGCTGCCACCCTTGGCCATGGCAGAGCCTGTCCCAGGCTCCCCTCTGGGAAGGATGCTGTTGGCTGAGGATGATGTGAGGGGGTTGTTATGAGTCTGAGCTTCCCTCCACACCCCTGAAAATTGAGGTTATGCTCATCCAGAGGGTCTTGGACCCCCTGGGAGTTGCAGAGGGCTGGAAGCCCCTCACCCCTTTCCTTCCTGTCCCCCACAGCCCCAGCGAGGAGCCGGGCAGCCCCCAGCACAAGCCCAAGCAGGTGAGAAAAAAAGTCTTTCCCCCCCTTTATCCATGCCCAGTGTCACCATCCCCTGCTTCAGGTTGCCCTCCAGGGCTGGGGACATCAGAGACCCCCAGACCCTGGCCCTACCCCAAGATCTCCAGTGCTGCTCATTGGGGTGCTGCAGCCCCAGGGGCCCATGAGCTTTTGGGGACCAGAGCAGGTGGGTAGAGGAAGACCCAAAACCCCCTCCCTGCTCCTTTGTGCATCCTTCCAACCCCCCCTCTTCCATCACTTCAAATTCCCTCCTGATGTAGCCTCTCAGTTCCTAATTAACGCTTTAATTAAGCCTCTCAGTTAAGCCCTCAGCCGTGACTCACTTTCCCCAGGCTCTGACCCCCAAAGGCCAGATCCCCCCCCCCCCCTTTTCAGCCCAGCCCTGGGATGCCAGCCCATCTCAGAGGGGTCTTCCCAGGAATTTCATCTCCCACCCAATTTAATGAGCAGCCCCCCCATTTCGAAGGGCCTCGTTAAGCAACAAAACGAGCAGTTGTTTTTACCCTCCCCAGCTGCTTAAGGGATTAAAGGAGGTGAAGGAGCTTTTGCAGTGTGAGCTGATGACATGGAAGGAACCGGCTGGTTCCCAGCTCTGCTGTGGGACCCCCTGCTGCTCCCCCCCCCCAACCCCACAGCGCTGGGATCCCCCTGGAATCCAGGTGGACCCCCCCTTTTGCAAAACACCTCAGCCCAGCTGGCTGGGGGGGTCTAGGAGGGATGAAACCCTCACGAGAGGGAAGGTGCCTGGTTGGGTGATGGGTGCCCTGATGCAACTGGATTTACTGACATAACTTTCTGAGAGTCCCAAGATGAACCCCCACTCCCCAAATATCTCCTGCTGGGAGCCAAGTGATGTCCCACATGCTCCGTATTTGGTAAATCGGGGCTATTTATAGCCCCAGCTCACCGGGATTAGGTGTGTTGTGCCTAATCCCCCCCCTCCCCGGCCCTGCTGACCTTCATCCCGCCTGGCTCCTCAGCTCCCTCCCTTCCACCGGAGCCTTTTGTGGGGACGAGAGGAGATGGAGGTGCGGAGCCAGCCCGCTGCCCGTCCCCGTGTCACCTGTCCCAGGTCCCCTGGGATGCCCGGCGGGTCCCAGGGGTGTTTTATTTCCCTGCCCGGGTCCCTCCGGCGCGGTCCGTGGGCAGTGCCAGCATCATGTCCCTTGTCCCCGGGGGGCTTGTTGTCCCTGCCCTGATGCTCTCCGGTCTGTCCACTAACAACCTTTTCTGTTTCCCTCTCTCTGCCTTTCCCGGGGGGGCTGCCCCATG